ATAGCCACCCTTCATCAACCCTTCTCTTCTTCCTTATTCAGCCCCCCCTCACTCCCTACCTCTGGCCCATCCACTGTTTTTTTCTATGTAATTTTCCATTTACCTTTTCTTTTTTCATGCTATCCCTATCCGTTTGCTCTCTATAAATATTTATCATCCTCTTCCGCGGGCTCGCTAATTCAATTTCGATCGAACACGACCACCGTGACCGCTTCTTTCGCCTACTTCCGCCTCTTACCACCCAGTATACTTTTTTCATCTTTTTTTTTTTACGCGCGGCACGCTTTACTCCCCGAGCTTCATTTTCCGTTTTTTTTTTCTTCCTTCCGTTGAGTGAAACAACACGAGAGAGAGAGAGAGAGATATAGAGAGGGGCTGATCAAGGGAATTGCCCGTAAAAGAAAACAAAACCCCCTCGTCTTCGGCGTCCCTTACGTACGTGAAGCTTCTCGCCATCTCAATCCAGAAGCCCCGTATGTGCTTTTCTTTTCCTCTCATCGTCCGCCCTTCTCGTTCTCTTTTTTTTTCAAGGACGCAGGATCTCTAATCGGTGATCGATCAAGCCTGCTATAATGCCAATGGACCATCGCGCTAGGATGCGATACCTGCTGGACGCAACGACGAGACACAGAGTCCCTAATACGCAACCTGTCCTGCAGGTAAAGAATAATGGCGAGAGCGAAGTAGGAATTGCGGCAGAAAAGGTTGATGAAGAAAAGTTAACAATATGTATATATGTAGATATGCATTTAAAAGAACACGAAGAAAGGGACGAAGAGGAAGGTGACGAGGATCCGCGAGGATATTATAAGATATAATAATAATAGTAATAGTAGAAAAAAGATAAAACGGTACTCTCGTATAAAGAATCTGTATGTATACCTGTCTTTGTATGCTGCGTACAATGTGTATATATATATATATATATATATATACACACACGCAATTGTGAACGCCTGTGTACACAGGGTGTCTAATAAAGAGACGCGAAAGAGCGTCGGGGATTCGTTGCTCTTAGAATTAACACAAGTAGAGTTCCAACCTGTCGCGCTAAAATCCAGTAGCAAAGAGGACTCTCTTAGATTATATTCTCCTTCTCCATTTCATCCCTCCTTCTCCCTTCTACACGCGTTCGCATTGTTTTTCGCCCTTATCCATTATTATCTCTTAAACGCCACTCTCCTCCGTGCACCTTGGTCCATCATCTCCGTTCATCTCCGTTCATTGGTCTCGTACTACCAAATTGCATTAAGTGGGATCCCGTTACTTCGATATACCCCGACCCTCCTGTCTCGGTGATTTTTTTTTTACTTTGACCTCCCGATGACGTCATCGCGCGAACGCGGGTGGTCGCCGTACTAAAACCCGCTAGACAAAATGTCGGGTATTATTTATCCAGCTGACGTACCTGCCACCTCCCCTCTTTCCCCGTTGCTCCCCTCCCCAGCCCCTACTTCTCACCCTCGTCACTTTATATTGATTCGTTAGCTATAACTGTAATCGTTATTCCGCCATTGCTAGTGCAGATTCGTACTGTCAGTATGTTATATACAGGGTGGATCATCGATTTTGCCCCCATTACCCAGTGAAAATTCCTTCGATACGTAACACCCACCCCATGTTGCGTTGTACGAATTGTTATTTTGTCAAATTATCATTGATTTGATTTATATCGTCGATTGATGATTATTTTTTATTTTTATTTTTATTTTCTTCAACTACGTTAACCCGACTATCAACTGTCTATCACGAGACTCTGCTCGTTAGTATAGCAGGTAATTGTAAGTGATTGCGTATACGGTGAAATACCATTAGCATTCCAATGAGAAAGTTCGTATACCCCATTTCGACTAACTTTGCTTTTAATTTATTATTCATTTTATCTTGTTTACGTGGCTTACACGTGTATCGTGTATATAACGGGTGGGACGTTTTACTGGCACGTGATATTGTTTAATATCGAATCAGGCCTAACTTTGACTCGGGGGTTGGATGCGAGACTTAGTTTTACATGGCCTACGTCACGCCCTGCGTCTCTCGGTCGATGTATATGAATCTGAATTCGATCACCATAGACAATGGGGGATGCTAACTTGCTTTTCTACCCTTGGCTTTCAGTCCCTGTATTAGTTGAACTTTAAGTCCCCTGAATTTCCCTTTCTCACTCTCTCTCCCCCATTGATTTCAGACTGATTAATCAATAACTGACTATCGCCTCAAAGTGACTTATCGACGCTAATGTCCTAATTCACTTTTCATCAAGCCTTAACTCGGTCTAACGTGGGTACTGGGGCTGATCTGTATTTCAAAGACGCCGCGAGACGTTCACGATAACGGTTAACGGATCAAAGGCATCCACTCTTGGGAACAGCCTTCCGAAACATGTATTTTTGTAAATTTCAGATCTGTTCGTATTTCATTTTGATATATTTATCTCCAAGACCGCTAGGGGTTGGATTTAACCGATTTCACCGAGCGAAACCGGGAAGTTGATTCGTTTCTCAAATGATGGTTTTACTTGTCAAACTTTCCTGGGGGAAAATAAACGATAATAAAGTGCTCGAAGCGAGAATGTATATCTGTATGTACATTAGAATATTTTTTATCGTAAAAGTTGAAACTTTATTGAAATTTGAAATTCAACTAAATTCACATAGAATAATAATACTTCAGCTCTGACTTTAATCAGGTAGACGCTAATTGTTCCATAATTAATTTCACTCGATCGATACCAGCATCCCTTGTGATAACGATAGTCTCAGGCCTATACGCCTATATAAGTACGTAGGTTGGGTGGCGGAATTTCGTTGAGATTGTTAATTTAAGAAATTAACTAACGAACCAAGGTCTAGTATACCGCTGATATTCTTCGTAAACGTTTGCACACACCGATCTAGCTCGCGTACGGGGTTGTTATTGATTTTCGAGATTCCACTAGGGTTTTACCCGGGTCTCCAATGATTTTTTTCACCCTTGACTCAAGAGGATCGCGAAAGAGGAAGGAAACGGCGGGTCGTCGTCCCCTTTTTGAGTTTGGGAAACGATCGTCTCGTAAGCGTGGCGAAGGTGGAAAGCCAGTTTTATTATGATAAAGGGAAAAGAGGGGAGGTCAAAGGGTGGTGTTGGACCTGGAGAATTTACTTGCTGAAGTCATCCGTGTATTAGGGTCCACCGATCTTCAAGGTAACGAAGCGAACGAGTCTCTTGAGAATTGACTTTAAGATTTTCGAGCGAATGAATTAATTAATTTACCGCAATCAAAATCCCGACGGGCAGTAGTTGGGGGGGGGGGTTAAGAGCCGTCAGACTTGTCTTTCGTTTCTCGACGGATTTCCCAATCCTTCAATCTTTTCTCTCAATGCCCGGCATCCCATTAATTACTTTTAGTGCACCGAAATACGCAGGATCCACCCTTATATCTGGCAACCCCTTCGGTTCGTCTGTACCAGGCTGGGGAGAGGGCTGGTTTGGACCATCCTGTATATATCTCCATTGTGATAATTGTTTAAACTAATTAGTCGTAAGTTGGCAGTCGTGGATTACGTGTCCCGGGAATCAGACTTCTTACCCCTTGGACGGTATCTTAGGTTGGCAATCGTTGCAGCTTCCATTTAGTAATCACCCCTCGTGTCGTGGATTAATGAGATCCCATGAAAATTTTAAAGGCTACGACCCACTTGGGTGTTGCGCCGTCTTTGAGAAACGGGGGGTTGTTACCCTGTGGAGGAAACTCGGAAGCTCTTCTGTCCTTTGGGATAAA